CTCTCCTCACCCCTCCATCAGAGAGCCGGCAAGAGTCACTCACTTGCAAGTGCACTAGACTTTTGCTTTTGGCTTGGCGTTCGGTCTGAGTGAGTGAAAACATTCTCCAGAAAAATTAAAATTTTCGTCGGAACGTAAAAAAAAGTGTGCAATGTTGCAAAATTTTCTGGTTCAAAGGTAGGCAAATCAGGAAAGATTTTCTAATCCGTATGACGCGACGTTTCACAAACAATATGCGTTTGCTTCAAATTTTGCACATTATTTGGCAAATGTGATTTGTTGGTGGCTTCCTGGTCGCCGCTGGAGGACGGGCACGGGCCTGTTGCTGTCGCTCGGCCCGCGGCCGCTTGGCTACGCCACCGTGATCGACTAGCAGGCTGCTCGTCCTTGGCTCTCCATTCGTGGACATGCTGGTATTTGATTCCCCGGAGCCGCCCGGCTCCCGCTCCCGCCCCTGCCCGCCCCGCCTGCTGCAGTGCCTGCCCTAGTCCACCGGTACCCTGGAGGGTCCGGCCCGGCCCGGCCCAGCCCGGACAGATCGCGAGCTGGCTCCTCCTCGGTAGAGAGCTGCTGCGGGGGGTACGAAGTAGAAGAACCAAGGATTGCAGTACCTCACGTCAAGGACACTGCCAATAAAGGGACAATTGAGGATGACGACGCCTCCGAGTTTCCCGGCAGTTTTCGCATCTTTAAGTTCGTTCTGTATGGGATGTTCGCTAAAAAGGATGTGGTCGATTCTGATTTAAAATGTTTGAAATAATGTCGAATCAGAAAGTTTGGGACTGTCGTCGAGCCTCTGAAGAAACCCCAGATCAGAGAGAGCTCATTGGCGACAACGGTGCGCCGCCGCCACCGGGGCGCGGGCGCGGGAAACGTTTAAAATAGAAAAGTGTAGGAGGTGTTCCTCCCGAGCCGCGGGCCGGGTGGGCCCTGCTCCCTCCGTTGGTTGCCCCGGTGACTGACTCGCGCGCCCTTTTGATCGCGGGGGCATCGCGCGCGCATCGGACAGCCGCGAGGAGGACAGGGCGCTCGGGCGCATGTGAGTGAGAGGAAGAACGATCCTCGCGCACAGCAAACCAAGACAAAAACTGCGGAAAAAAATAGATTGCAACGGTTTAGTAACTCTCTTTACCCCCTGCTTTATCTTTTTCTCTCTCGCTCTTCGCTCTCTCGCCCCTCTCTCGCTCCTGTCTCTCTCTCTCTCACTCTCTCTCTCTCTCTCTCTCTCTCTCTCTCTCTCTCTCTCTCTCTCTCTCGCTCTCGCTCGCTCGCTCGCTCGCCCTCGTGCGGCTCAACACTATTGGCGCTAATCAGATGGCGTTATTTACGCCCCACGCCCCGCACGCGCCTCGTTATTCGCACGGCACGCGTCGCTACATCATGCTCGGGTCATTATTCGCACGCTCCCCGCCGCCGAGCCGGCTGTGTCGCTGCAGCTGCTTATTCGCAGTTAAACAGATCGCGTACTGCGCATCTCGCCTCGCGTTGCAAATATTTGTGCTCCCCGCCCGCTATGCTGCTGCGACGACCGCCCCGCTCCTTTTGTAGCCGCGGCGAGAGAGAGAGAGAGAGAGCTCCTTAACGCACCCTATGTTTGCTAGTATGGTGGCCTCGCGCCGTTCTCTGCGATGTTTGTCTGCAGGCCAAAAGCCACACTACCCGCGCGCCTTTGTATGAATTTCCTTGTAAGTAGTCGTGTCACTTTGCTGGCGAGTCGTGATTTCGTTATTGTGATGGGACGGCGGCGGTTTCCTAATCAGCTTTATTATCGGAGCGTAATGCGTAATTCCCCTTATCAGTTTTATCGATAATTATTGAAGGTCCTCGCGGCAGAGCAGCTGGCGGGTAATTAAATAACCTTGTGCGAAAGATTCGTTTGTGGGTCTTTGCCGAATGCAACGGTGCGTGCACGAAATTAATTGTGACTTTTTCTAACGAAAACTGTCGAGCTCGAGAACGCAATTTTTCTTTCCTGTCTGTGTACTGAACATGATCCCGGGCGCACAGCAGGGCGATAGCGATCTTGCAGTGCGCATGCCTTGGCAGATTCCAGTAGCGCCGACTTTGGGAACTGGAGTATGCCTCATCTCGACTGCTGGAGTCAATCATTCTGAGAACCTGTTTTCTCAGCCGCCTCTCCTCTGCCAAGCCCCGCCACGCCACATCGCGTTGGTCACGGGTTCAAATCGCGCCGCCACCCACCCGGTAAAACTTTTTCATTGTTCAGTTTTTCAATTGCGTGGGCAGTGGGCACGGTAAAATTGACATCGTGGATTTCAAGTGATCTCCTTGGTTTTCAAGACAAGCAATCTGCTTGAATTTCAAGGGGTGGATCTACAACCCATTAAAATGAGTTCTTAAATATAGTCAACTTTGGGACAAAGTCAATAATGTTGATGGAGACAAGAGCGTAGTATTTCTACGATGATGCAAAATTTGCTAGATTCAAAAAAACATTGTCATATGTTTTTGAGTGTGCGTAGGTGGAAGATGTGAGAGAAGGAAAAGACGCGATCGTTTTAGCGCGGCACTGGCGAAAAGGCATCGCGGTGTGCGTTTGGTGTGCAGCAGAGACAAAGCGCAAACAGTATGCATATGGGCGCGCGGGGGCGGGGGCGCCGACCCCACCCCGCCGTAGCACACAAACGCACTCGCAGAGACGCAATCAACTCCTCAAATAAATGTGTTTGACAAAAGTGAGTGACTCCGGCAGGACTACGTCGGACGGGTTGTCGCGCGCGAAGCAGGCATAACAGAGAAATGTGATATGACAGTAACAAAATGTAAAATATGTCCAGTTTTGTGACACATGCTTGATTCTTGTCGCGCGCTGGAGAGGCTTCCCCGCGCTCAAGTCGCCGGAGGTTAACGTTCCGTCTCCCCGTTCCTGTTGCAGAGCACGATGACGAGCTGAGCCACACGTATGGCCCCCTGGACGGGTCGCTGTACGCCACCGTGGGCCGCAAGCAGCAGCTGCAGATGCAGCAGGAGGCGCTGCGGCAGCGGCAGCTGCAGCACCAGCAGCAGCAGCACATCCAGCTGCACCACCAGCGCATGCGCGCGCTGCAGCCGGCGGGCGCGTCGCCGGGCAGCGAGCACACCATCTCCATGGACTCGGGGATCTCGTCGGCGGGCAACGGCGGCAGCAGCAGCGCGGGTGGCGGTGGGGCGGGGCAGCACGCGGCCACCCCGGGCGCGGCCGCGAGCCCGGCCAGCAGCAGCCAGCGCGCCCTCGACGACCTCCTCAACGACATGCTCCTCACCGTCGAGAGCATCCCGGACCTCAAGCCCGAGCGCGGTGGGGCCGCTGGCGGCGGGGTCGACCTTCAGCGCCAGCAGCGCGGCGGCGACTCTCGGCACTACCAGCAGCGGGCGCCCCCCGCGCCCACCGCGCCCACCGGCGTGTGCCCGCCGCCGCGCCCCGCCCGCCAGTCGAGCCTAAGCCCCGGACCCGTCAGCCCGCTCCTCGGCGCCGCGCCCGGCCGCGCGCCCGCCTCCGCCACGGCCCCCACCACGGAGCCCGAGCTGGATGAGATACCGTACCACGCCCGGCTGGACGGCCGGCCGTTCACGTACGTCCCCGGCGCGCCGCAGCAGCAGCAGCCGCAGCAGTACCACCAGCAGCAGCCCGCCGCCGCCATGGCGCCCTCCGTGACCAGCAACGGGCTGTCGAGCCCCGGGCTCGTCCGCAAGGCGCACGCCAACGGCGCCAACGGCTACGCCACCTCCACGCCGAGCAGGGTCTCCAACGGCACGCCGGTCGGCTCGCCGGGCTGGTCGTCCACGCCCAGGGAGCCGTCGTCGTCGGCGAGGTTCCAGGACGACGTGCTGTCCGACGGGTGAGTACCGTGTCTCTTGTGTGTGCGTCTTTGTCACCCCGGACCCGCGCCGGCCGAGGTGAGGCGGAAAACTGAAGTGTGGTGCATTCCAGCTCGGAACCTTCCGGCGTCACAAAACACACAGACTGTCACACGAGTAAAGCGTATACTTGTCCTTCGCGGAAGAGTGGCCGACGCGGCTGTCATGCACTTTGTCTGCGAGCGCCTTGTCAGGGTCAGGTCAGGAGCACTTGCAAAAATGTGCTTGTGCGTCGGCTTTGGTCCGCCAACTTTGGCTTCGCGCCCCTCGCGTGTGCATGGACAATTTGAATGTCCGCAAAAAATAATAATTGATTGACAGAGTCTTCTGTCAGCCACAACAAAGTGTAACCGGCGTCCCGTCTTTTCGAGCTCTCGATTACCTACCCAGACACCGCGCGCGTGTCAAGAGATTAGATGCAAAGTTTGCTTAGCTTCTTTTTTTTCTTCTCGTTTTTTTTTTTTGCATATTTTTTTCCCGCTGGGTCCCTAAGTCGCCCGCATACACCACCACCACCAGCGTCGGGGACGAGCGAGCAGGCATGTTGTGTTGTGTGTGTGCGTCTCTTCTGCTCTTTCTGAATACGCGAGCCTCAGGGAGACAAACTCGCGCACTCGTATACGCTCGGGCACGCGCGCCTGCATTAGGGTCAGGAGGAGGTGCATTTGCGCCCGAAATAAAAGCAAACACACACAAATGTAAACCAGAGTAGAACCCCTGCTGCTGCTACTCTGCTTCGCTCCGCTCAAAATCCCCGCGACGAGAAACAAAATGTGCGAAGGGAAAAGAAGAGGATGAGGTAGAGGGAGGTAGGGTGTGGGAGGAGAAAGGGGAAGGGACGGAGGGCAGGTCTCTCGGGCTCTGCGGCGCGCTGCGGCGTCGCGCGCGGCCGGCCCGTCGACGTGCAGGTTGAGTGCGTATTTTTAGCGCTTCGGACCTCCCTGCCTTCCCCCCTCTGGTCCTCCTCGCCAGAAGGGAAAAGAGAGAAAGAGAGGAGAGAGAGAGAGAGAGAGAGAGAGAGAGAGAGAGAGAGAGAGAGAGAGAGAGAGGGGGGGGGGGGGGGGGGGGGGGGGGTGGACCGGGGGTGGAGGGGGGCGGCGCCGCCGTCGTCTCGGCGCCCTGCGCCGCTGGCCCGAGCGCCTAGTCGCCCCGCGGCCGCTGCCAGCACCTCCCCGTCGTTCCCGCCGTGTGCCCGTCGTGCGCGCGTCCGCGGCCCGCCGCCCGCGCCGCCACCCGCGCCACCTCCACCCTCCGCCGTCGCCGTTCGTCATGGCCTTCATCATGGACTACCCGAGGGACTACCCGCCCCCCGGCGCGGACGAGTAAGTCCCTGCGGTGTGGTGGTGGGGGGGGGGGGTGAGCAACAAGTCCATGCACTGCGACTGCGGCGAGTGCACGACGCGGATGTCCGCGTGTGAGTGAGTGTGCGGAGAAGGGTGATGGGGTTGCAGCAGTTTTGAAGTTTCTGCGGCCACGTCTGTTGGGTCTAAAAGCGTTGTTTTTTAAGGCGAAATGTTTTGGCAAACGAGCGAACGAGTTTGGTCTACGCCAGCCAGCCGCCCAGCTGGCTGGGGTTCGGGGCGGTGGAGGCGTGGTGTGGGGCCTCTAGGGGGAAGGGGGTGAGGGCAAAGGGAGCGATAAAGTAGTTTTGAAAAGTAATTAGTTTGGCTTGAAAACGAAGCTCCCTGGTGTGAGTGCTGCCTCGTACGAAGAGCACGCGCAAGACTTTGAAATGGGAGCAAAGTGAGAGAGATGGTTCGGTTAGTCGGTAGAGACGGCTCTGTCTCTCTCGCTCGCTCTCACTGAAGGGTCCGCGGCGCAAATGCTCATACTGCTTTGGCGGATGCGTCGCCGCTGCCGCCGCCACCCCCGCACAGCCCGGGGGAGGGGCGGGGCGGGTTCGCGCCACTGACTGGCTCAAGGCGGGCGCGGGGCGGAACTGCCGTGCCGCCGCCGTCCCGTCGCGCCGCCGCCGCGTATTCGCGAAACAGGTCAGAGTGGCAGCCAAGGTCCGTCCCGTGAGGCGTCCACCTCCGACCACTACTACTTCACCTCCTTCCTCCCGCACAGCAGGATGAGACTGTGTGTGTGTCTCTGAGGTGAGAGCGGCGGGTGGCGGCTCGTGAGGTGGAAGGTGGAAGAGGACGACGACGGCGAGCTTCGTCTGTCGCCGACGACTGACTATCCTCCCTGTGTGCTCGCCACCGCGCGCTCGGCTTTGGTGGTGGTGGCGGTGGCGAGGGGGAGCTAAGCGAGTCCCGGGAGTTGCGCAGGGGGGAGATCTCTTGGCTTTGTGTGGGGGAGGATATGTGTGTGTGTGTGTGTGTGCTTGCGGTTTTATCATGATTTATGATCAGAGAGCACCGCCAGCGCACGGGGTGCAGATAAACACACAGGTGGGCAAGACGGAGGGGAGGGGAGGGGGGTG